GCACGCGAGGTGGGAAGGACAAAGCAAAGCCTGGGCCAAGCCACCCTGCTCCCTGGGAGCTGCTTCCCCGATATGAGGTCACTCTGCGCATCTCTCATTTCTGCAGGTGGTGAGCTGTCTGCAGTGGCTGACAACTCTGGAGCTAAAATCCCTTCCAGTGAGGAGGCAGGAAGGGGTTCATTAAAGTTCCTTTCAGCTTTGAGCACAGTCCTAGACCTTGTGTTCCCGCCAGGCAGAATCCAAGAGATACACAGGGTTCCAAACTTTACTGGGAGGATTTATTTTTCTTTTGAGTAAGTGCTTTCTTGAAGCAGATTTTGAGAATTTCTTTCAAGAGTTACTGCAGTAAATCCACACTATTGATTCCGGCAGTCGTGGTTCTCTGGAGCTCTCTGGAGTCACTTTAGTGTTTAACTTGCTCTCTTCATTACTCCAGCAGCACCACAAGGCCTGCACATGCTGGGGCAGAGGGCTCTTGGTCTCCTTGAGGCAGCAGCTTTTCAAACATTTAGTCTGTGCAGAGGTGGGAGGGGTTGCTGGCCACAGACAGAACAGAACACAGATGTCTTCTTGGCTCGGTTCTCGTCTGCCAGCCACTTCTGCACCAGGCACTGTGTCTGACAGACAGGCGCGGGGTAAACGTGGGGTGCACACATCAGAATGTGCCCCACTCACAGCAGATGCCAGATGGCACGTCCTCATGGGGAATTTACCAGCCAACTCCACAGCCACTCACAGTGCTGGGGAGACAGATCCAGTCTTCCTGAATACAAGGAAAGCTAATGTTTGTGGATGATTGCTGGTGACAGGCTCTGTTCTGGGTGTTTCTGACGTGTTCATTCATTTAACCTTCACATTAACTCTATGAATTGGGAAGGATCAGTCATGCCCATTTTTTCAAATAGGAAAAATGAGGCAGAGTGACCCACACTGATGGAGGCCAGGATTTGAGCTGAGGGATTTTTGTCTTAATTACTTCTCTCACTGCTGGAACTAAATACTCAACACTCACAAGCTAAAGTAGGAAATATTTATTTCAGCCCAGTTTGTAGGGGTTTAGTTCATAGCTGGATGGCTTTAAGGCAGGGCAGCATGGCAGAGGAGAAATGGTCCATGGCAGGACAGACAGGAAGCAGTGAGCAACAACATTTAGCCTTACTTTCCCTCTTATCCCATCCAGGCTACAAGCCTTTTGGGTGGTGACACCCACTCCCAGGGTGGGGCATCCATTATCGTCACCCACAGCTACGCTAGACCAATCAGTAGCTAATTTAATACCACATGCACTGAAACCCAGCATCACACACCCTAGATCCACCCAGCTCTAAAAGCTCCATCTATGAGTGCACAGGCTTTGGGGGGACATCTAGACATGAACCCTAACAGAGCCTGTTTGAAAGCTCCCAGTGTGGACCCTCATGCTGCATTACTGTTAGTTTAGATTTCTAAATTCTCTCTCTCCCTCCTTCCTTCTTTCCCTTCTTCCTTCCATGCCTCTTCCCAGTCTTCCCTTCACTTTTCACTTTCTCTTCCATGCTTTGAAACACCTCCTGGAGGCCCTGCATCTTGAGCTTTTCAGACCAGAGCTGCTCTTGCTGCAGCAAGGATCCAGGGTGGTGGCCTCAATCTGCTGCACCCCTTAGAGTGTTGGGGTGGTCAGAGTGCAGCAGGTCTGCCCCATCTTTAGCACAGCCACCACACCCTCAGAGTCACCCCACTTCTATGCAAAGCCCCCTGAGGGATAGAGGATGCATCTTGGAGAGGCTGGAGAAGCCACATTCCTGGGGTCCCAAGCCAGAGATGGCAGAATGGACAGCAGAGTACAGCTCAAGCTACACCATGCCTCGGAGGTCAAGAGCTGTATATTTAAAAATCTGGTTCTCTCCATTCAGCACGACTGACAGCAGTCACCAGGACGCAGCAGATATGCATCTTCGAGGGACACAGGGCCACCATACTGAGAGCTGTGCCACACTGTGAAGCACAGTTTGCTCCCTGTGTTTCGGAGACGTCCCGTGTACATTTCTTAGGAGGGAGAAGATAAGACAGTATGCCCCTGGCAGGTGGACAGAAACCATATGAATTCATATAAATAAGTCAGCAAGTCAGTTCCAAATGAGCATATTTCATCCCCAGGCTGCCCTGGTCATTTCTCTGTCACTGTGGCCTCACCAGGCCTTTACTCTCACGCATCCTGGGGTCCCTGTGGACACAGAGCAGCTCCCTGTCTCTGCCTCAAGACTTGACTCCCTGAATCTTCAGTGCTCTCAGAGCTTTTGCCCCTCAGGATGAGGGCTTGCCTTGGGCCCACTCAGCTGAGTTCGGTCCAGCTCGTGAAAGCTGGGCTTTCTTCCAATTGCAAGGTTTTTCCATTCCGGACCCAAGAGAGCACTGGCCGGCTCACAAGTGGGTGTCGGGTGGGGGTGCTGCAGCGTGCTTGGGATGGGTACTGCGGGGTCTCCCACCCAGGGGTGAAGCTCTTGCAGATGTCACAGGTCCCTGGTTGCTGACCCTGGAGCCCCAGCAACCCTGCGGGTTTGCACCAGGACATGGAAGGAGACACGTGTGGATCGTGGCCCATTGCACGCAGAACACACCATGGCCATCTTATGAGCAGCAAGGCGGTATTTTCCACTCTTCAGTAACTTGAGCAGAACCTCAGGAAGGTCTCCGTTGCTCCCCCTAGATAATCTACCCCTGTTGTCTTTCAAAGCCAGAGCGAAGATGCCGCATGCTCCCCTCCTGCCCGGTGTCCAGCGAGCGAGCTGTCTTGCTGTGGACCACCAGGGACACAGGAGGAGGCGGTGCGCAGGCTGGCAAGATCACAGCTGCACTGATGCACAGGGAGCTCTGGAGGAGAACGCAGATGCCCTGGGGAAGCCGGGCCCTGTCCTCAGCCCCGTGCACAGAGGGTCTCCTGAGTACCCAAGAGGGTGTCCGTGACAGTTGGGTCTCTGCCCCCTGCAGGAGCATGCGTTTGCTGAGTAGTTGATCGAGGAACCCAGTGGCTGGGAGCCAGTGGGATGAGGGGTGCTGGGCCCCACATTTGCACTAAGAACAGGGTGAAACCGGGCTTCTTCCAACTCCAGGCCCTGCTGCTGACCTCCCAGGCTCAGAAATTCACTCTTGAGATCTGCAGCCCGGGGCCAGACAGTCCAGGCGTCACCTCAGTCTCCCTCCAGAAGGCTCTCTGGTGTCTCGGAGGCTGTAGTCCTCTGGGCACCACCTTGGGCTCAGAGATTTGGGAAGAGTGCGCGTCCCTGGGCGGGGCTTACCTCCCGCCTGCCCAGAGCGGGCCTAGGGTGGGTGGCAGAGACTGAGCACCCGGCTGCTGCTGACTGCCTGGTGACGATCAGGGCTGCACCCCACTGTTCACATTTCAGCCCCCATTACACTGTGGAAAACCCGCTTCACTGCCTGGAAACAGGTGCCCTTCCCAGGAGAAGCTAGCTTCAAATGATGCTAGCCGTGCAGCCCCTGAACCCGTGGCCTTTTGCAGGGCACTGTGGAGCATCCCAGGTAGCTCTGCCTGGCCCTCTAGGCTCCCCAGGTCCTGGCCAGTGCACAAACCCAGCCTCAGGCCTGCAGTAGCATCTGGCTTATTTCCAGTCAGTTCTGCCAGCGGCACGAGCCTGTCCTGCCCCCTCCTCTGCCCAGCAGTGCCCACGACTACCCACACAGTCCAGAGAGTAGCTTAGGACTCAATATGAAGGCTGCCTGGTGCAGTGACTCACACTCAGCTCCAGAAGCAGCCACAGAAAAGGTGCAGACAAGCAGACAGCACTCTGCTGAGACAGTGACTGCCAAAGGCTGGGCCAGAGGACACAGCATGCTGTCCTGTCCTGGAGAAACTCTCAGGGCAGATGCTCCATTTTGGGTGGGCTCTGTCCCTCAGTAGCTGGGCGGCTGTGAGTGAGCCACTTTTCCTTCCAGGGCCTTCATTTCATCCTGCAAAACCTAAAACGTCTGGAGTACTCCTCACTCCCCAAGCCCACAGCAGGTGCTGCTGAGCCCAGCTCTGGGACCTGGGATGGCCTTGTAGGTCTAGAGGCTCAGACACAGGGCCCCACTCACCCAGGGTCCTGAGTGGAAGAGCTTGAGGACAGGACGGAGGTCATTCAGCGTCTCTGGGGCAGCTTTGGGCTGGGCTCAGTGACCAGGCACCAGGGTGGCGTGGAGGAGAAAAGTACTCGGCCTCCGGAGCAGGCATGGGAATCCCATGCACCAGTCCTCTGGCCCGGGGCCTGCACGCCAAGGCACCACCACTGCTGCAAGGAGCCAGGGGGCCCCCATGTCCTTCCCAGTGGCTGCCTCCCACCCTGGACCCTGCGTCTGTGGCCAGCCTGCATCTAGCACACGGGAGGCTGGGGACAGATTTGTGCTCTCCAGCCCCCAAGGAGAGTTGCATACAGCATCTGCCATTACCTGTGAAGGTGAACAGGGAAGGGGGTCCTCAGTTCAGATCTCAGCCAGGTGTATCAGGCAAACTGGGTGAACTCATCGTCAGAAGAGCTGATAAAGCTGAGCATGGCTGTGCATGGCTTGGAATCCCAGCACTCTGGGAGGCTGAGGCAGGAGGACTGCAGGTTCAAGCTCAACCCACACAATTTAGCAATGCAGCAAGACCCTGTCTCAAAATACAAAAAGAAATAAAAATAAAAAACAGCTGGGGATGTAGCTCAGTGAGAAGGCTGTGGGTTTGATCCCCAGTACTAGGATAAAAGAAATAGAGGAGGAAGAGAAAGAGAGGGAGAAGGAGCTGGAGAGGGGCAGGGGCTGACATAAACCCACCCGTCAGTGCCCAGGGTTGAGACACCACCCAGAGTCCTGGCTTGTGGGTGCCGCTACCCCGGCTGCCTACTCCCTCACCTGTCACAGGTGCCCAGCAGACTCTGGAGCTGACAGCTCCTTGGTGCTACCGTGGTGTGGAGAGGATGGTGACGGGAGAAGGGTCTTTTGTATGAGGCCAGCTTAACACCCTGTCTCCCGGTTTCTCCCAGCAGCGGCAGCCTGTTCGGCGAGGTGGTGCAGATGAACTTTGAGATCGCCAGCTTCAGCAGCCTGTCGGGGACGCAGCCCATCACGTGGCAGGTGGAGTACCCGAGGAGGGGCACCTCCAGCGCTGCCGTGTCTGAGGTCTTCGTCAGCCAGCAGGACCTGGTGGGCATTGTGCCCCTCGCTGTGGTAAGGCAAGCCGTCACCCCGGCGCCCTGCCTCTCTCCTGAGACGCTTGCTGCAGCTGCTTGTTCCCACTTTTTGTTTTTCTTAATCTGCATCTGTGGGCTGTGGGATCAGATCTGCCCACCGTGGGGTGCTGGTGCCTGCACAGAGCGGCCCTTCATTCTACATTCCCTCTGCTCTCTGGCTCCCTCCATCCCTCGGTCCCTTCCCATTTGCAAAAGAGCCCTTCATTTGTTCTGGGATTGGGTATGAGAGCCCATGCTTTTTGCGAGCTGTTTTCTCCCGAGTCCCCATTCCCTCCACCCTGGAATCCGCTCCTCCCTCCCTTGTCTCAGCCTCTCTTGGCTTTGGTGATGGGATCTGGCGACTCCACCGTGACCTTTGCCGTGTCCCGTGTCAGTCACGGTTCCTCACTTGCCTCTCTCTAAGTCCATCCCAGGCCCTTTGTTTCTGTTTAATGAGGAAGCCCGGGCTGCCCCACAGATTCATCAGATGTGCTAGGCTGTTCTGTCACAACACAGAACCCCAACATCTCAGGGACAGGTGCAGCACAGGTCACTCCCGGCTACACTGCCCCTAATGGCAGGGGCGCTGTGCCGAGCTGTCCCTGGGGGTCCCCTCCAGCTCCTTCCTGCCTCTTTCATGCCTGAGAGGACAGCACCCTGGTCCCCTCTTCCCTAGGATGACAGGGATGAGTCAGCAAGGTCCGCCTGTCACCCTGGCATGTAAAAGCCAAGGGGTTGCCTGGAACCCAGTGGGACTGACTGACCCCATCCAGTGTGACTGTGCTTGCACTACCCTCGGGCACCAGCCTCATTGAGCCCTGATGGTGGTCATGCGCTGTCAGAGCTACGCAAGGGACCCTGGGACGGGGACCGGTCGGGATTCTCCGGGTTGCAGCACCAGCCCATCTGAAACACGACTCACGTCACTTGGAAATCCGGAGCAGTGTTCCTTGCACGCGTGTGTGCCTACGAGGCATGTGAGGATTTGGAGGAGCTGCACAGCCTCATCTAGGAGGCAGCACTGGGGATTTAGAAAGCTTTTTTTCAGCACCCAGCTGAGCAGCCGCGGTGGCTGCAAGGCTGCTGTCCCCCAGCTCTGGGGCCTCTATGCCTGTCATGCGGGAGGGGAGTCTTCCATGCATCTCACCCAGCAGGGCCCTGGTGGGCTCCTCTTGCCCAGCACCCACACCAGTCCCCGGCTGGCTCTAGAGCCACACGCCAACCTGGAGCAGAGGCCCGAGACCCCGGGCATCTTGGGGTGGGTTCAGAATCTCACGGAGACAGAGCCTGGCCTTCCCTGAGAGGGGAGCGGGTGGGGGCCCTGTGGCCTCGAGGCTCTGCGGGACTCTCCAGTGGCAGGGAGGTTCCGCGTGACTTCTAGGGACCACTGCAGCCCACAGCCAAGCGATCCGCCATGCAGCTGGGCCAGGCGAGCTGGCCCTGGTATTCCTGGTCTCAGACATCTCCAGGGCAGGTGGCTCTGTTCAGCATCACCATGTTACACTCCCCAAGCATTTGCTCGCTGGCTGTTTGGAGACTGTGGACACGCGTCCTAGAACACGCACTGGTTCCACAGAGCACACGTGCACCTCGCTTCTTCCCTGTTCCTTCCAGAAGCACAAACGTTCAGGTAGTGTGGGAAGACAAACCTATTAGGAGGCTCTGAGCTTCTGCCAGGGCCTTCTTCCCCCTTGAAGTGAGGCGCTGTCACTAGGCTTCTGCGCTGGCTCTAAAGCCTAGACTGCAGCTTGGTCAGGAGGTGAGCAATTCTTCAAGCACCAAACGAAAAGGAAACCCATGCGCTGCACCTGTGCACCAGGGAGGGGGCTGCTGAGGCCTCTGATGCTTCCGTGTACTTCCCGAGTGGTTGCTTAAGACAGGGAGAACAAGCTCAAAGGCCCAGGGAGGACCCAGTGGAGCCACAGCCTGGGGCACCTTCCTCAGTCCCAGGCACCTGGCTGCTCCACAGGGCGACCCTCCAGGTGAGGGGAAGCCACGTCCCACCCGGCCTGCAGCCCCTCCTCCACTCCGGCCCCAGTGTCCAGGGACAGTGAGTGCGTGGGAGGCACTGCAGACACCGCATGTCCTGCCTCGGCCTCCTGCCCATTGTCCCTAGCTCAGGATGGAGACGCAGGCCATGGTTTCGGGCTGAACGCTGCTCCTCTGGCATTGCACTCTTCCCCCTGCCCATCCTGCCCAGGCCACCGGGGCTGGAGCCGCTCAGAGGGGCAGGTACAACGCCTTGTGGGCTCTGAGTGCCCCGGTCCTCACTGGCGCCCTCATGTGGCAGCCTTCGCCCAGCATGGCCACCTTTCCCCAGCCCGGCCTCCTGGGGGGCCCAGTGAAGGTCTTGGGCCAATGCTCAGCCTGCGTGACAGGCAGGAACTCTGCCTCAGAGTGGCAGGAAGCTGCTGTGTCCTCCGTGAGGGAGATGGGGTGAACCTGTGAACTCAGTGCTCATGGGAGGCTGAGGCGGGAGAATCCCAAGGTCAAGCCCAGCTGCAAAGCTTAGTGACTCAGTGAGAGCCTGTCTCTGAATAGAAAATTAAAGGGCAGGGGTGCAGCTCATGGTAAAGCACCCAGGGTTCAGTCCCCAGCACAGAAAATAAACAAACACGGAAGTACACCATTTTCTTGCACCTCGAGGACATTCAGGCCTGACCTCGCTCCTTCTGTGACTTGAAGACAGCATGTCTGGCTCTCCAAGCTCCTGAGGACGGCAGGTCTCAAGGATGAAAAACAACTGTGCAGGCAGAATAATCCTGCCCTTGTCACAGCTGGACGTTTACTTGGAATTCAATTGAAAGATGTCCCTTCTCCCCAACTAACTGGCCCAGAATTTTGCCTGCAGAGCAAATCCAGAACATAACTGAATCTGCTTTCTCCCCCGGTCCTGCAGTGGGAACGAGCGTTTCCAGCACCTTCGGGCTGACGCAGGTGGGAGGCTGGAATCGGTGAGCAAGGCTGCTCTTCTCTGTGTAGAAGAGGCAATTTTGCATACTGTGTGTACACGCCCTCTGCAGTGCTCTGTGACCTTCGGAAAGGGCCACACCGGCAGCCAAGCAGTGTGATTAGAAAGAGGGCCTTTCCGTCAGACCCTGGCCTCCCTCGGACAGTTCCCAGAGCCTGCCATGCCGACGCTGTCTCCTCTCATTGGGGACCTTGTGCAGTGCAGAGCCTGCCCAACTGTCCCCAGCATCCCTGTACACCAGGAAAGCCCTCTTTCCTCACTTATGTGGAAATTGATGCCATCTGTGTGTTCTCCATTAACACTAAACCAAGGGCTCGATTCCTGCTTTGCCTGTGTCACAGCATGGAGTGACTCAGGCATGACTGAGATTCTCCATGTCCCTTTTACTTCTCTCCTTCTGGAGGTGCGGGGAAAGGCGGGATGTGGGAACTGCAGCAGCTGCTTTCCTGGCGCTCCCACCAGGCAGCTGCAGCCAGGGGCCCCGCGTCTGTGTCAGAGTGCGGGGGCAGCGTCTGTGTGCCCAGAGCATGCTGGGCCGTGATGGAGCCGCTCAGAGCCACGATCTGCAGCACCCGCTCTCCCCAGGCCTGGATTCACCTCCAGATACGACCCCGGGTCGGTCTGACCCAGCTCGCCCGGTGTGCAGGTTCTGATCCAGCCCCTCGGGCTTGGGGAGCAGCGCCCAGAGCTCCGCACACCCACGACTCTGAAAGTAGAACAGAAAGAGAAGTGTTAATGGGTTCTTGGGTACAGATTGGAAGGAGAATTAATCCAGAAACGTATGCAAGAGCAGCTGGGTGGTGTGAGATTTCTTCTACTCCATCTGAATTTTTGTCGCAGATTTTTAAAAAGGTCAACAGCTGCACCTTCGTTTATGTTATGAAAAGGGTTCATTCTGCCTCCTGGCAGCGCTTTGGAGCGCATCCCCTTGGCCCTTTGCGGGTGCCGGCCACCAGGACACACGTGCACCCCAGACCCTCTCCGGGAGTGAGAGCAGCCCGAAGCTCCGTCCTCAGGGAACCTCGCAAAGGCCCGACAGCTCACGATTCTGTTTTCGCATGGAGCAGAGATCCCACTCCACCACCAGGTCCTCCTCCAGTAGGGGCTCCCCCTCACCCACGAGCTGTGGCAAAGACGCAAAGCTGAGGACAAAAGTGCTGCATGCCACACATGTCCCTGCAAGGGTCCCAGAGGCCAGGTCCAGCCACCACCCCCTGCACCCCAGCCAGCTCTGCTTTTCCCAGCCCTACTCCCACTGAGCTCACAGGGCAGATGCAAAAGAGGGGCAGGAGAGGCAGACAGCTCTGCCTCGCCTGCCCTCAGGACTCTTGGGGAGTCTATTACTAACCCCAAGACTGGGGCACTCTGTCACACGTCGGGCGATTACTGTGGGACTGGTGCTATATTTTTCCCCTTTACGGAGGAGGAAACTGAGGCACGGAGAGGACAGTGGCGGCATGGTTGGTGCGGGTGGCCTAGCTCCCCACGTGCCCTGTCTGTGCCCGCCACCTAGGCCACATGCAGAGGCCAGGGAGGCCCGTACAGGTGACAGCAGGGGCTCCCAGCTTCCTCCCCTTGTGATCATAATCGCTGCGAGGTCTTCAGAGAGCTCCCTGTATGCGAGCCCCGCACAGCAGCTCCTGCCCCCTCACCAGTGGAAAGTGAAGGCGGGTGCCGCTCTCTTGGATTTGGCCCTGCAGACAGCTCATGTGAAGTGGGGCCTTCTCCCTCTTTGGGCTGAGGCCTGGAGGGTCCTCCCCGGATCCTTGGAGCATGGCGGAGACTGCACTGGGGACCGTGGCCCCAGAGGGCGGGACCACCACCGCCACTCACAGGCTCAGCAGCCAGTGCTGGTTCAGACTCCCAGACCCCATCATTCACACCTGTGCTCACTGGGACAGGGACAGGCACGTATGTGTGGACTGAAGGAAAAATCCTAGTTTTATGAGGAAACAGGAGAGTATGATGCTAAGTACTTCTAATGATATGCATTTAGAAAATTAAATGGTTGGCAACCAAAATCCATG